AATGGTCAGTGTCCCGAGACACAGCCCAAACGCTGTTGTCATGATCGGACGGGGTACTAGTGGCGTATTGCGAAACGTTCCGAAGACGACGGCACAGGTAGGTGCCGTCGACAGCCGATGATGCGTGGAAGGATTAACTTCGAACACGTTACAACGATCTGGCCTGGGCGTTTCACCCGAAGCCGCTAAGCGAGAACTACGTTCTGGCTGTGGGGCGTTTGATCGTAAAAGTTGGCGAACGTTCTGTAAAGCTACACCCAACAAATTTAGACCACGCCAACGAGACGGACGACAAGCGTCCGGATGATCTGCACGAAGACCGATTCCCCAAATGCAGTCATAAGGACTGGCTTCTGCTAAAAGTTTGTCTCCGGATCCAAGGAGGTGTAGTCTCATCTCTGGATTTTGGGAAAATTTAGCGTAAGAGCCGGTCAGCACGATATTCTCGCGCTCCTTCTCCCAGAGAGTTTGGTCGAAACCCTGGACAGCACGACCATACTTCTTGTGTAGATCGGGGTCGGAAACTCTCATGATGTTCTGTAGACATTCGCGGTTGCCGAAAAGACGAGCTTTCTCTGCAGCAAAAAATTGCTCTGCACACACATACGAAGTACCATCAACGACAAAAGTAGATGGGGTCCATTGACAGAAGGGAGAAGGGGATTTCCAAAATAGGACCACGTCTGAATTGGAGTACTCCTGAGTAGCATCGAAACCAGCGTCTTCCGAGGACGGACGATGACGAGAAGTACGAGCAGGATGTGTGTCAACTGCTAAATGGCCTGAAGTGGGAGACGCCCGGGCAGCATTATGGTCAACATCTTCTGCAGATGGGCCGGTGCCAGGTGTACGGGCAAAGGGATTTACATCCATTGCTAAATTGCCTAAATCAGGGGGTGGGTCCATCGGAGAATTCGAATCCACTGCCGAATTTGCCGAGATAAACGGGGGCGCCACGCTTCGTATAGGGCTGTCCGTTTCTAGATCTTCTACCGTACCGGCATCCGATTCGGACCAGGGGGCATATAGATCGCTTTCGCTAGGAGCGGCCACCAGTGCTTTGTCTGTCAACACAACGTTGGATGGTGCAAGGTCCTCCGTGACAAGGATCGCGAGCATACCGTATTTACGGCGGGCGTCTCTTAAGCGTCCTCTGGAGACGGTGCTGTCAACACTCTCAACGTCGATCGCGGGATGTTCCTGGTTTGCACCTCTGCACGATCGTTCGCGTTGGCAATTGGTGGGGTCTGCTTAGCCCCACCGGGTGAGAATCGTCGGTCGGATCTGACGAAACCGCTACCGGTGCTGCGGCGGCTGGCGGACCAACGGCGGCAGCGAGCGCAGACGAATGACAAGAATATCAGAAGACGCATCAGAATTGACCACTTCTGACAAATCCTCCTCAATCATATAAAGCGCATTGCTATTGCTCTTGCCGGTCTTACCTGCAGACGCCGGGGGGAGCTGCCGAACTACACTCGGTGGCCCCGCGCGTCTGGTCGCTCTGTTCCCGCACCTCAACACGGCACTCGCCTCGGGGGAGTAATTTCCCGAAAAAATACCCATCGAAAGAGGCGAAGTAGCAGAGGTCGCAAGCGAAACGTCGGAGGGTGAAAGGGGAACGGCATCGTCTTGTGCATTCCCAACCCTCTTGTCCGAATATGGAGAAGAAACAGCGGGTGCAAGGGCACCAGCGTTTCGCAGGGCAGGAGCACCTCGCTCCACCATCCCTGATACACGTACAACTTGTGAAAAACGTGCAATATGTCCCGATGGTGCCGAAGGCGGGTCGGGGGAGGTACACGAACCACCACCGACGAGTCAGTTGGACCCACGAGTATTGTGGCCATTCTGACCGCCAGATTGGAAATTTCCCGGCTGTGTAGCATTGTAGTTGGACGAAACGGAAGCGCCACGAGGAGAGCCTGTGTGGACCGACGATTGCGGTCGGTATGTAGACAGAGCACCAGTGTGATGGGTGTTGTCTGTGGACGGCTGTCGCGAGTTATGAGCAAGATTTCCATTATTGCGAACATCATTCTGGGAGTTACCGTTGTTACGGTAGTCGCCTGCGTGATTTCTACGCGAAGACGAAGAGTGACGCTTGCTACGCCCGCCACCAGCACCTGAACCGGTGTGTGGCTTGCGACGGTAAGACCTCATACGGCCTTGCCAACGTCGGGAAGCGTCAGAGTTGTCGTGCAGCTCACCTAGTTCTGGGTTCAACAGACCGCTAGAATTTGTGAAAGAAGCTGGGCAGTGTTTCATGGAATGGTCATCACCAGAGCAGTTCAAACAACGGTTACGGTTCTCTCGAAACGCTTGCGAGCGAGCGTCCTGAGTCAAGAGAGGAGTCCACAAAAAAGGGTCACCGGTGTTACGGAAAGAGGAACTGACTTGGTACACATTCGACCAATCGCCCTGTGTGGCGGGCCATGCATTATAATCACGGGAAAACGGATCATCATCGCCGCCCTGAGACTGAACTGCCAAAACAACATGATTTTGTGCAGAACCTTGTGCCCACCGGCCCGAAGGCGCAGGTGCAGTTGCACGATTCTGGGAACGCCGGGGCTGCGAAGAACCAGGCGTGGAAGACAAAGAAAAATACTCTGAACCTCCTAAAGCGGGAGTTTTGTTGGTGGCCAAAGGCGCGAACGCCTGCCACATTGTATCAATCGAGTCAAACGGTGTCACGGCCGTAGCATACCAAGGCATGTGTCGCACAACGGGACCGTTTGGCCATGCTCATGCCCGGGCACACCACAGTCTGGGTGATTGCTGCACGCCATGGTACATTGTATCGGACGGTCGACCTCAACCGGTGGTGGTCCCGCAGTCAAAACCCCAATCGGTGGTTCCGCACAGCACGCTGGCCAGTTTCATCGTGTTGGCGCACACCAAAATGGTGAGTTTTGAGCGAAAGGGTATATAGAAACAGAGGTGATCACCGTGGATATGAGCAGACCCTGGAATTGTTTGGCTGGCACAAAGTGTTTCAGTCTTACAGATTTATCTGTCTCTTCCAGCGGCGGTCTTGATTGATTGGGAGTTTGGCTGGCACAAAGTGTTTCAGTCTTACAGCGTGTCTGTCTCTCATTCTTTCCCCAAACTCAAACCAAAAACACCCGGGGGGGTATCCAAACAACCCCCCCACCACACCACCACACCACCGCACCACCACACACCACCACACCACGCCACCAAAACCGGAAAAACCGGAACCGCGACATTGCCATATCCTCTAGACTATCGCCGCACGACACGTCAACGTGTCCATGCACATGCACATGCACATGCACATACATACATAAGTTGTTGGCCAATTGGCCAGCGGGTGTGCGTTCAAGACATGGCCGTGCTGTAACGGTCCCAAGCAGTAGTCCACGTCGACAACATGAAAGAAGTTCGGCATGATCCACGATCCATGACCCGACGACGACGGGTAAATGTTCCTCCGCGTTCCTCCGCGATCCGGGGCGACCGTTCACATCATTGCACCGTGCACCAACATGGCATCCACCTCACCGCAAGCCAAACCTACGTGTCTGGTGTGTGGTCACTTGCCTGAAGAGATGCCAGTGTGGCGGCGGTCTCAAACAGCATGCCCTCAGCAACAGCAGAAGAAGTAGAGCGGTGAACGGAACCGCCACGGATCGGCTGGATCCGACGGGTAAACGTTTCATTCTACAGTCGATCAGCGACCAGCGGAGATTGGCGCAGGCGGACATAGCATACCAAGGCATGTGTCGCACAACAGGACCGTTTGGCCATGCTCATGCCCGGGCACACCACAGTCTGGGTGATTGCTGCACGCCATGGTACATTGTATCGGACGGTTGAACACCGTTGGCACGGCACCAACGCACGGCACCAACGGCAGTCGACCTGGAAGAACAGAAGAAGCGAAATCCGAGGTCGACGAACAAAACACCAAGAAAAATGATGCCACTCCACTATCTGGTACGCACGAAGCCGACAGCAGTTGACTATAGACACGACAGACGACAGCCTCGACGCCCCTGCGCACCGGGTTTGTTGCGTAGAATTCATGGATTTGTAGAGCGTGTAGTCTGCGTATGGTATGGCGTGCGGTCCCGCAACCGGGTGTGCAAAACGCACACATGACGATAACGTTGACTCCTGAATACACGGTCATTAATTCACGTGTGTAGTGGCGGAACAACAACAACGCCGACAACAACGATAACAACACCGACAGCCGTGACCCAGGCTGCTGTGTCCACAAATATACCGGATGTGTACATGTAGGTGTCTGACGGCGTTCACACAAGGACATTTGAAAATTTGGATGTTCACACACCGACGAGGTCTACAAGGGCGCAGGGATAGACCTACCAATACCGGAACGACTGAGTTCATCGCGGTGATGATAAGTACGTTGAATCCCGAGTGGATGAACTCCAACCTGCTTCAGTTCCGATCTGTTACCATCGAAAATAATCATAGGATAACATATCGTTTTGGGCCCTACATCTTCCGGAGGCCTTCGGGCTCCTCGGTTGCCAACAGTAGAGAAACATATTATTACAGCTGAACAACACATTGCACATAGTCGGAGGCGGTATGTTACAGCTAAACGAAACACTACGCATAGTCTAAGGTTGTACGCTAATTAAACAATCGTACCTTCGTTGTTTTGGTTTTGGACAAGCGGGCGCCTCGATTGCTTAGAGCCTCACTACGGAACTTCTCGAAGGATCGACGAAACACAGGCATGAAAACCCACATCAGTTTCTACATTTAACCCCTTGCGTGAACCCATTCATTCGAGACTATTTCCCGTGAATATGTCGCATATTCCCCAGGAAACAGGCCGAAGTGCCTAGCAACACTGACGTATCCCCGGTCCAAGCGACGAGTTTCGAGAGGGACAATATTACACCTTTTCGCACTTGAGACGAAGTTGCATCCTCCCATCGAGATCCGCACATGGTTCCTGTTCCCCGGCGACAGGTTTAACGGTGCCCCGGTCCCACTCACACCTTCCCCTCCATATAGTTCGATGTTTGACATCCCTGCGATGACCCTAAGGTACGCTTCCCCCTAGTCTTAGTCCAGAACGAACCCCTAGTCCAACCTGTGTTACTGACAATCGTCTCCGGCAGAACGCACCCCCGAAACAACGCTGCTTCGCCCAGCCCCGCAAGACCACCTTGCCCAGCTGCAACCCTGTCCGACACTCTGTTTCCATCCAACACCACCGAACAAGGGGTCGAGGGGGGTGCGCCTTTGGCCTGGGGATCATCATGCCGTGTATCCGGCCAAGCAGCAGTGGCTGCAACATACAACGGCGTCCCCGTCAAAGGAGGCAAGTCTCCTGTTGGTTCACAGCGGAGCTCCAAATTTCCAGACCCAAATTCGTGTGCTTTGTGGACACGTGCGGCGTCGAGAACCCCCGGACTTTTCGATTGGCGGTGCTTCTGGCGCCGAGCATTGCTCTGTCGCTTCTTGTGGTCTTCGTACTCCTGGCCGAGAGACGCGCAGGACATCGCTTCCACTCCGACATCCTTGATGGAGTTGTACCCCAGGTTCACCGTCTTAGACAGAGATACCAGGGTCGAGACGGAAGCGCAAGGTTATAGGTCACATTGTTTGATTCAGGTTGTGGTAGATGCGCTGATTTAGCATAGGCGCTCAAGCTTTGGATATGGATGTGCTTGTCCGCAGATGGCAGGAAAATATCGGAAACGCTAGTTGAATGCACGACACAGACCGGTGCGGCCAAAAACGCGACCAACGAACCACCAAATAATCCCGTCGATGACAACCTAATTGGATAAATCCATCATGTTTGGGCAAAGACATTAGTGTAATGTTTGCGGCCTTTCATCCGTACTCCGGGCCAAAGGGTAATGATCGGATCGCGCAGCGGTACTCAGTTGATGGCTTGTTATACTCATGGCCGTTTGCTCGAAGTCGCCGCTCGGCGAAGCACTAAAACCGTTCGAGGTTGTCGTTACGCCGACCATTGTTCAGGTCGCACGTGTCGCGACTCGCCAGGCACTTGATGCTTCGAGCTTCTTACAGTGCCTACTTGATCCGAGAAGCCGTCGTGCTCTGCCGTCCCTTGTGAAGGATGTCAGGACCTCTAAACTTTGGTGATACGGTACGGATATTCATACCAATGAGGTTGTTTCCCTTGCATGCACAACGCTGTTGCTTTGCCGATAATGTCTTCATGACTCAACTTTTTCGAGGTGAGGAATTAGCGATACCGGCATACACAGTCAGCGAACACCGAGTCTCACCACCGCAGTAGCACCAACTCCGTGGTGTGTCCCGTCGTTGTTAATATCTAAGACGGACGCGGCGAGAGCCCGGCAGCCCCATGTGTTGACCGAGCATCCGTGTAGATCCACCTGGCGTGTGTACGTTGTCAAGGTCAAGATGCACACTGACTTAAAAAGATGAGACCGCCCGGTATGTTTTAGGCCACACCCACGGTTGTCCATACCACGCGACACTCTACATTGGGCTGCCTTCCACACCAGAGCACGCCTCTCGAACTAAGCGTTTCGCACAAAACAAACACCCTTGTGGCTAAAGGTATGGAAGGGCGTGTTTGGATACCGCGACGTTTTGTGACGGCACCATGGACAATTGCGCGAATGGACACATCATTTTCGCTCTTGTAGCACCTGCAAAGACGATTGACACGCCCCGTGATACATCTCGCTTCTCGACCTGAGAGCTTCCGCAAGATCTGTGGCGCACGGCGGGCACAAAGCAGAAAGGCAGATCACAACCCTGGATTCAACTAGGGAAGCATACAACGAACCAAGCTGTCCCTTTGAGCGGGGACTAAGTTCGCACGTGTCGTGCATGAAATCCGCCTCATGGCTGATTGGCTAGATAAGTAGAGGCTACGCGCACCACGGTGGGCGCCGGTAGCACCACCGGTACTTGTGTAACATCGATAATGTCATCACACCTTTCGAAAGTTGATGCCACATCGCGACGACATACACACGGTGCGTTTTCTTTGCAATAGAGGGCATGCCATCTGAGAGGGAAGATCATCATCCCGCAGAAAATGATTTCCGGCTGCTCGAAGTTTGAGAAAACCCTCGATCACAGTTACCGGGAATAAGCAACCCTTTGCAGGAGAAACAAGTGGAGATATATTTTCAAGAACTGTTGACTGCTACTGTACCAGGAGGTGCCCTGTCGCAGCGAATACGGCATACCTGCCGAGCAGCTCTTTTTCACGGAGAAGATGTTGTCGCTCAGTTCGGTCTCTATCTTACTTAACGACATTTACCCGTGCTGCGCGGATGGATGCGCGACTAAGACACAAATAAAACCAAATGAAGCACTGTACATTACTTCACCCTGTACGACACACGCACGAACTAATGGTGCAGCTGCAGCGAAGACAGAAGAACGGAGCCTACGCGTGACGCCGATGGCGGTCGCTACGATCACCACAAAAAACCGCCACAACGCAATCGCGAAATGTGGGACGCACCGTTTACCCCTCGGTCCCGAAGATCGATATTCCCGGACAACTGAAGGACTCGGAGACGGCACCGTGCATCCACGAGACCCTTGGATATGACCGACAGATCACCATCAGTGACGCTACAGCGAGAGAGCTCGAGCACCTGGCGTTGGCCGGGACGGCGCGTGGTGGGAGCCATCACACGCGAAGGGATCCCAGTTGATTGTCTCAGAGGAGAGAAATGCAAGTGTTGGTGCTGGGCCTTACGGTTGTAGCCAGCTACGCAATATCGGCGTCGCAAGGAGTTGATATGCATGGAATTCGCGGGAAGTATGCACAGGGAATGCGATAAAAACAGGCACGCATGGCTTCATGTGCTAGAAGCCCTAGAACTCGGCAGGGTGCCGACACTCCGACACAACGTCCGTGTTCTCCTAACTTTTGCATTTTTTGCGTGGATGGAAACAAAGAGCGAGATCCTGCCACGAGTGCCTGTCGATAGGCTTCGAGAAGACTCACCTCCAATGGCCTGCGGATAAGGACATTTCGCAGGGCTCTTGCACACGCCACCACCCCCCCAATGCGGTTGCCAGAGAGCACAAGCTTGCGCAGTTGCTTGTCCTTAGCGGTAGCTCCTGTGAGAACCCGGGGATTGTCCATAGACAAGTATTCGTCAACTCGGAGTCAACCCTGTACATACAGTACACGACAGAAAAACCTCGACTACTCCAGCAGCAGTATGACACACCGGCGGCCGAACACGCTTGTACCTTTCAAAGAAAATGTGAAGCGTCGCCAGTACCGGAGCGAGGAAGAATCAACACGTTGGCAGAGGCCTGAGCGTTCGGAACTGGCAGCGACATCGTCACCACACGGAACGCCACCTTTTTCTTCAAGGTCTCTAGTCGTACCTTCTCTTTCTGCAAGGTTTTCTAGTCGTACCTTCTCCTAGTGCGAGAGCCAGGGCGGTTGCGCCGGGGTTGCCGATGCCGCAATTTTCGAGACAGAGCTTTTCCAGGTTCCCGCCGCAGCACGCTTTCGCGATTGCCATGGCTCCTCCGTTGCCGAGGGAGCACGCTGTCGCCGACAAGCTTGAGCAGAGCGAGCAGACCATCGTGTCCACCCCACCATCTATTAAGGCCGCCACAGCTCCGCCTCCCGTTTGTCCAACGTCTCCGGAGTACTCGCCATTGCAGAGGACAACCGCCGGTCTGCCTGTGCCAGAACCTGTCGCGAACACTACCGACATTGAGATGCAAATAATGCTGTCACGTACTGAAAACGACGTGGCCGCGTTCCGGAAGCGGTGGAATGTGCTCGTACGAATACCGCAGGGGCGTTTCGAAAACCTCTGCTACCGCGGGTCTCTGCGTTTTTTTTCGAGACGAAGAGCTGGTTAGCTCTACCATACAGACAGGCTTTGCGGGTCGTTCTACCTGGCAGGCCGCACCCCTCGGTCGGTGGGGCGTTTGTGGTGATGCCGGTCTCTGGCCCATCAAAAGTGGGATCTTGATAGAGTGTGTTTCGTAGCACCACCACCAATTTCCACACCTGTGGCACACGAGTCGCGCGTGGGGTATGTATGTGTGATATGTCGGGTGGAGATGAGACATACAGGACGGCATATGTTCACCGTTCTTGCAACCCCCGACGTGGATATTTCCATGTCGCCAAGAAAACAAAGTTGTGGCGCATCCTTTTGCCCATTCGGAGTGGAGCGCAGGAGGACGAGTTCACAGGGATCCCTTTGTGCCGCAGTTGACGTTCCTGTTGAATTGCAGCATGGGCGAAAATCTAACACAAACTTGAAGGCCAGCTCGATGACGCGTTGCTGGTTGTGGTGTTGTAGGATCGATAGAAGCACTTCCTCTACCACAGAGCCATTCTGGCAAAAATGGGCACTCCCTGCTACCTACTAGCCATCAACACCTTCTAGCACAGACGTTAAATGTGCCACAAGCACAAAGTATATATTATCGTCAAGGTGTGCTACTAGCTCATCCAACCCGGAAAAACTGGCATCGGGCATACCTCCACTGCCGGCGCGGGGTCGAGAACAATGACCCTGGCATAGCGGCACAAGAAGGACAGCTCCTGACACGAAAGCTGACCTGGTAGCCACCGCAAAAAATTCCTCCTACGAACCTATTAAGCATTATGCCGGAAAAGCAAAAATGGGTTGACTCAAGTGGAATAGGCCTTCATCTCCGCGATCTTGTATTCGGTGCCGACGTTCCGCCGATACTGCAAAGCTGCTTGCGGCTGTTACTCCTGTGGCAGACTGAGTCCAACTTGGTGTAACGCACATCGAAGTGTTTCGAATTGGAACCCTCGTTTCGAAACCCAATCGCTCACCTCATCAAACGCTCGGAAAAACGCCGAAGACACGAAGTCGGTCGAGCGCTGAAAACACACACGGGGGAACGGAACACGCGGACCAACGCAGGTCAGGTATTGAGGCAAATCCGTTCACAAAAATGGCGTCAATATGTAGCGTGCAGAATTAGATGCCGTGATGCGCAAGACACAAACATAGCAGACATGACGGACCCCGATCTCCCGCTTCGTCACCACAGGGTACGGTAGCAGTGTACGAGACAACGTTTTCGAATTGTGGAGAAGTCTTTCATGTCTCTGACACGGTATACGTTTTTGTGCATCGCGTCTACTACGGTGTGATGGAGTCCGTGGCGACCGGCTGTTCGACAGACCGATCTGACTGACCTCTCCAGCGGCCACCCAATTGGACAACCACATCCAGCTAGATGTAGGACACTTTCCCGCCTCGCACTCGCCGCCGTTTTCTGCCTCCCAAACGATATCGCGCCCTACGGGCCGCCGTTGCCGAATAACGTCCTTCCCGCTACCACGGCGTGAGCGACCTGGGCTTGCCGCTGTTGTTCTCCGCTGTTTACCCACGGGAACGGGGTTCCGAAAAGACGTTGGTGGATGTCGCGAGTGTCGTCGGGTGTAGTTGTCTCCCTCTTGTGCCGTCGTCGAGGTTTCCATCCTGCAGAGGGAGTCACCTTCACAAAACATATTTTCGGGCTGCCGTTGACCTCCCGTGCGGTGCGGTTGCGGGCTGTTGCGAGATTCGCCGAGCGAGGGCAGCGCGTGGTCTGGGTCTCGCGGCGAGCTTCCGCTGTTTGAATCAGGCATCCGACGGCAGAGACAGGAGGTCAGGCTCAAAAGTATTTCTCTAGGGGCAGCTGTTTGGTATTTGACAACGACGTTGGAAGAACCGACGAGCGGAGGAGGTGGTGGACAAGGTTTCCGGACAAGTCGCCACCCCCAACATACACTCAGTGCTTAGAATGGTTGGTTCCTCTGAGAGACCGATACACGTCTCACCGCGTCGTAAAAACAACGTGAATGTCTGTCTGTCTGATCGCTTTCAGTCGAAAAGCCCCGAACCACGTACTACAGTCGGAAATAAATCATTGGGACTACTATAACAAGGAAGGGAGGTTTACAGTCAAAGGGTGCTACTCACTTGCACTCCCACGCGTCCCCCCCGTGCGTCGTTGCAGTCTTTCCGGGAATTCTTCTCTCTGCGTGCACCGCTGAGGGGAGTTTTACGTGGGGGGAATAAAAGCGAAATTTGACTTGGACACAGCACTCGATTAGCAAAAGTGTTTTACTTCGTTGAATCTACGGTCTTCGTTCTTTAACGTAGAGAGAGTACCTGGGGTGCAGGGGCATGAAGAGAGAACAAGGGCAAGGGCAAGAGAATGGTCTTTATCGCAGGGAGAACTCGAAACAACGCGGAGCTCGAGTAACAGCAGAGGGGGCTCGCGGGAGGCAAAACCTATCGTAGTGTACCGGGCGAATGCCTGACTGGTAGCAGCGCGGCCCAGTGCCCACAACCCGAACGAAAACGGCACCTGCAACAGCAATACTTGTACCCGATGTTTGTTCGACCGAACGGTATGGTAGCATACCTGTAATTTTTCTCTTGTCAGATGCGAAGGACCTAAATGTCGTGGCATACGCTTCGACCAGACAAGCCTCTACCGCCCGAAAGCACCTACTAATACAGTAGGCCAGACACGATGCAGCGTGGAAGAGGTTAGTATGTTCAAGCGTGGAGCAGTTCGATTACAGTCAGCTATGGGGATGTATGGGTCTTTCCGAGGCGAACGAAAGCTCCCATACATATGAAGTTGCCCGAAAAGTATCCATCAACCCGGGGCAATCTTACGGATTGATTTGAGAGCATAAATATGCATCACCAGCTATCGTGCATGGTCGGCTCCGTATCGTCCGAAAAGCTTCGACATGATCCATCAAAATACGGACCTTTACGCAACAAGATTTTGTTTGTCGACGCGATTACTACCGCGCCACACCAACCAACCAACACCAAAGAGCGCGAAATATTGCTGACGCTAAACTCAGCTCCACATTAATGACCTAACATCCCCATACCTCAACTTTCGTCGTCGAAGCACTTCTTGTTGAAACCTCGCGACCACATCATCTCTCCACTGTTGATGGGCCTTGACTGAACAGGCTCGGGCGCTGAACGGCGGGCAAAACATCGGCAACGAATTACACGTACAGGTCAACTACAGTTTTGAGGACGTGCCTTCGACTTCTAAAGAAAGGGGTAACCGTAAAGCTTTGTCTTCATGAACCACTTCTGCCATTTAGGCAAGGTACAGACGTCAGCAGAGGTTGCTACTAGCAGTACTGGCTATGGGCGCGGAGTTTCAAGTTACTGAAGCTATCGGCATGTCAAGCTGAATTGGCCGGTCGCGGATCGCACAGGTGCCTACTCACCATTTGCAGCGTATTGCTAAATATTTGTTCTCCTTCATGACACCTTGTAACCGTCCATGTGAAAGCCGATGGACAAGGGCAAGCTGTGGTTGATGTGAGGAAACGATGTGCTACGTGGTGGCAGAGCACCGCAACTTACCGGCCTCTACGACCCCTACAGACGGCTTGGAGACGAATGGCCATCCGTTTTTCGGTGGAGCGCGTCCAGCACCAAATGTACATGGTGTTTCCCAGCACTCGTCGCCGTCGAGCGTCGCTGACGCGGGCAATTATCTCCCCCACAACGCGAGCCCTCGCTTGCACCTGAAAAGTGATCGAAAACAAAGAGCAAAAATCCTACTGTGTCACGTCTACCGAAGGGATGACGCAAAGCTAGAATGTACCTGAGTCTCGTGTACCGTTTGGGACCAGCGAGATTATTCTCTATGCAGCCAGGTAGGAACCACATCGAACACTCTACGCTACAGAGAGACTCACCCGCTGGCACCGTTCGCGAGCAAGAACCCCCCTCCAGGCGGCCTGGCTGATGCAACACGTGGCGTGCAGCTGAACAAGGTTCCGGATGCCACCCAGGATAAACATCTCGGTCGTTTCCCGCGTGAAATACTTGGTTGCTGTTAGCCTCCGCCTGCTCAGAGTCAACAAAGAAGTAACACGAAGATTGGCGCGAGGCCTTTCAAGCAAACGCCTCCTTGTATGTATTGTCTCGTAGCCTACCTTCGCTAGGTCAGAGATCACACTATTCCTAAGTAACTTAGTTCGCCCGCAAAGCCTTGCAGACACGATGATACCATGAGGAGGTAAATCAACGCACACTAGTTACCGTCTGGCAGGTGGAAGGTTTGGGGGTGAGGCGTGCTCAAGGTAACCGTAGGCTAGTGTACACCAAAATAGTATTCATCGACGATTCCTGTGGCTCTTGAAAAAATGCACATTGGGAGCACATCCTACCGCTATTCCAATCCTGGAGCACAAGGCAATCGCAGTTTCAGTTCGCCTATGGAATGATAATCAAGTAGGCGTTTCGCAGTTTTATCTCAATCTCCCTCCCCCCCCCCCCCCCCCGAAATTCACGCTTCCCAAGGCAGGGTATCGATTATTGCTCTCCACCAACCCCACGTGGGTAAATACGCCCGGGACCTGGGGAGCCATCCCCTGATCCGAGCCTGAAACACGGAGAACATCTGACTGCAGTAGCAGTGATCGCTCCAGAGGCGCATAGCCGCAATGAGGTATAGCCTCCTCTTTGCGTCCAGCTACTCGACAAAGAGCGCCCTGCGCAAACGTTTGTTAGGACGTTCGGATAATAGTTGACAACGAAAACGACAGAATGCTGATAGAAACATTAACACTCGGTAAGCAGATGTTCCTGGCGCTGACAATCAGAGTGGGATTACCGTTGTTGGTTTGCGTTGGAGACAAGTGCGAGTCGCACACATCAAGACCAGATTATTGCAGCATTCTTGAAGGAGGAAACTTTACCGTCCCAGGGTTCTCAGCACCAGAGCCTACTGCGCTTGCGTCCCCCGCTGAAAGCAAGTTTACCGTCTAGTCAGTGTGCAACACATAATGAATGAAGAGGCGTGTCTCAGGCCACAACGGCATCATCAAACGCGCCAAACCAAGACGTCAAACCAGTAAATTACCTGTTGTCGTCTAAGAGCGGACATCTTCGCCGCAAATGCCGTCCTTGCCCGAATGCCTCGGTAGCGCGCCGAAAGCTTCGTCGTCATCCGGCTCAACCATGCCAACGTTCTCCACTCCTTGATCGCCACCTTGCGGACTGCCTGTCGAGATCTGGAACGAAGGATACATCGGATGACATGTTTCAAACGTCAAGCCCGGCATGCAGGTGCTGTTCTACAGCCGTACACTAGTTCACTAGAGGGTGTGGGGGGAACTTTAACGAGAGAGGAAGCGTTGCAGAGCCGTGCACACCGTTTCGATTGGCATCTCGCCGAAACCTTGTGGGCGTAATTCCACCGAGCTGTAAACCACCACCACAACGAAGGGGACTAGGGGGAGCGGATCTCCATGTTTTTTTATGGAAAGGGGACAAGTTTTTTGTTGCTGTTGTCAAGGCTCTGGACGAAATCACTATATGATTCTTTTGCAATGTAGCAATAACGTTTGGTGCGAAAACGAACGTTAGATCGTGTACAAGTGGTGGCGATACCGTGTGCTATACAAGCGAAGACTGATGAAATGAAAAAAGCGTGGAAATGCTCCCACAGCCCTCTCATACTCACACTGCCCGCAGGACTTGCGCGAATTCTTCAAAACGAACTTCTCTGTCCTTAAACCAAGCCGCCCTCAACCGCCCCTCCCAGCCTCTCCACGCCGCCTGTATCTTTGTTGCCGCCTTCTGTTTCGGGATGTTCTCCCTCCACTCCCGGCAGCAGCGAGTCAGCAACCGCCTTTCATGATTCGTGACCACCGTGTCGTAGGCACCGTGGATGGCTTTTCGGTACTCGCGAGCTCGACGGGTTGTGCCGATGGCATGACGGCACCTGTTTTCGCGCGATTTTGTGCATGATGCAAGTGAGCGGCGAGACAATCGAACAGGCGCATGCTCTCGTACATGTGTGTCCATCTCAAACAGTCCCCCCCTCCTTCGCGACATCTGGGGTAAAACAAGTGGGCTGAAAAAGGCCGGAAGTGAGATCGATAGAGTAGATAGGATAGGGGTAAAGCCATTTGAGCCACCTTTGGCAAAGTAGGAAATGGCAATTGGCCATGGGTGATCAGTCCTGTGGGAACAATGCTCCATCCTCTGGAGGACGCGTGGTCAGTGGTCTAACAACTGAGGCATGCAAAAACATGAGTACATCCCCGCCCCCTCGAGACGTCCACTTCCGCACAGCTATTCCGGAAAATATATTTCCTGCTGTCGGCGGCAACGCCCATCTAGAACGACGGCTCCTGAATTTCTCACCTCCACCAACACTGAATAACCAACACCAACGCCTTCTTATTCTTGCGGCAAGTGGTCCTGTTCCGCGCCAAGGCTACGAAGCATTGGCGGCGGATAGGCTTCGTCACGCGCATGAACAGTCTTCGCAGCTCCTTCTGCCGCACACGCCCTCTAGACATCACCCGTTTCGCTAGCCATATCCTGAGAGGGCGCAAGCGTTACGTATAGGAATGAGTTGGCACACGAGCGGAGAATACTCAGATATTTTCCTCGGATCGCTCCGCCTGTTGGTAAACATGACGCTGGACTGCTGTTTGTAACGAACTAAAATAGCATTACACTAATGTTTCCTCTAGATGGAACTACATCAGCCTAGACGGGACTACTTGAGCATTAGTCCATTCAACGCTTGGGTCAAAGCTTGCCTTTTCTCGCCCATAGGTTGTGGGTGATTTTCTACCATGTACTAAGACAACGAAAGCGCGAACAACCGTTGTCCTAGTGTATGGCATAGAAGAGGTTATTATCGCTGTTAAGGAAAACGCTCGCAACCGTCCTCTTGGTGCACCATAGCAAAGGCTATCACTGTTAACGGTCCTTCAGGCCGCTGTCGTTCCTTGTCTCGGCACGCGAGCGTGTGGGCGAGACAAAGGTTCGTCGACAGGTTCGTGTAAACGGCTGTTGGCGCCCTTGAGTGTCACAAGCAGGCTGGACCGAGCAAACACCCCGCCCTTTATGGTCTTCTTTCTCACCTCGCCATGCCCTGCACGGCGACTACCTTCCTCTCCAGGACAAGGTGTTTCCAAGTTTCCACGACGCGGCGTTTGTCCGCCAGCTGGTTGCGACCGATTGCCAAAATCCCCATCTCGTGAGCTCGCGAAACCTTTTTTTCCCCAGGCGATGACAACATGGTTGCGTTATTCTCTGTCGGTAGCACGCGCTCTAAACGTTGACGTGAACACACACATTTGCCGTAATCAAGACCAAGTGCTATTCATCCTCCTGAAAGCCAACCTGTTGTCAAAACCGTCAACCTGGTGAATTTTCAAGTACTGACCGGTGGGTTACAACGAAAACGCCACAACTTCTCCGCCGAAAACTCTTTCGTATGCGCCTTTCGCCGTTTCTTGCTATGTCTGCCGATTCTTCCTGGTGCCCTAGAACTATGCCAAGACGTGGTGCTTGTGAAAGAAGGTCATATATAGCGCGTTCGTGCGGGCGTTATGGTGCGACACGGGCTGGTCTGATTTCACCTTTGTCTTGGTCAAAGTCAATGCACGCATTGCTCGAAACGTTCTCCAGCGGGACTGGATCTTGATCGACATTCGCGCCTGGCGAGGGGAAGGGAAGGCACGAACGGAAGGACAAGAACAAAACACGACGCAGTGATAATTCCCACTTTCATGTGCTTGCCGTCTCGCTGTGCAGTCGACCAAAACAAAATGGGACTGCGCATGTGCTCGTTCGTGTACGTAGGCGGAGATGGCGTCAAAGGTGTGTGTACTGAAACAAATAGGGCTGACAAAGGCTTGTTTCAGAGGGATCCGCGGAAATACCAGTAGCAGCGCGAATATTGTCGAAGACGGTGTACGTGTGTCAGATTAACATAAACCTCTCTCGTGAGCTCCTGTGCAAGCAAAACACACACATTCTTCGGCAGGGCACGAAACCCGTGGTTTGGGGTGCACCCGAACAAGCGAATCTGCCTGCCTCTGCCTCACCCTCCGAAGGCTGTGAGCGGCTTTGTACCACTCTCGAAAGACGGGTGTGCCTAGCCTCCTCAAAGCGTTCAGGAGAAGCTCGTTAATCCGGGCCTGGCGATTTCTCTCGTCAGACGCAGTCTCGCGCCCCACGACACCGCGCGCCATGGCCTGAATCGTTGTTGCCGCTCTCTCGCGTCTGCCGACCATGACTTGCTTCGACAACCTCCGTAGGACGCGTCTTGCGATGCACTTGTCGTGCATGTTCTCCACCAACTGTTCCAGAAGATCTGCGTTTGTTTCGTCAATGATGCGTACGCCATTCTCTTTGCGGGTGGACAGAAACAGCTAGCGGCTGAAAGTCACGACAGCTCACAGCTCACAGCTCCGTTCAACCATGAGGTACCTATGACGTCTGCGCACTGTATTGACTTGTCTCATACACCTGATTACCTCGCGATTTGCGTGCAGCCAGGATGAACCGGACAACGGCTCGAGCCTTGGTGCCCCGTAGCAACGCCTGTGTCGCGACGTTTTGCGGGGTGAGAACACTAACAATATGTTGTACCGTGGTCTCGTCAAGTAAGTGCCTGGTACTGAGCTTGCACCAAGCACGAACGCTTCTACCGTGAGCACACTGATCGCGGCAGAATTTCCCTGTAGCGGCATAAACGTGATTCTGGGGTGCGCGCCATGTGGCTCTGCTAGATTCTCAGCACTACCAGCAGTTTAAGGCAGCGAGATTCGCATATGGACAACGCCCGAACTACGCTGTTTGCAGCGTCTACGCAAGGTCAACCTTGCTGGGGATATGTGGAACGTCTGGATCCCTCCCCTTGCAAGGCGTGGGGTAGCGAGGAGGTCTAAATTGAGACGCGTAATAACATTCCTTTTTCGATCATGATATTCGAAGTCGAACTATCAAATGAGACCCTTGCCTGAATCTGCGCTGCCGCTTTGTCCAACCTGACCATGTCGTGGTGCTGCTTCCAGTGCTTCCAGCACACGACCTGATCGTTTCATGGACGAAACGCACGAACGTGTTTAAGATACTCACATTGTCGAAGCGTTTACATGATCCGCATGCTATTTTTGCATGTCATGACCCATAACTCAAAGCTCGTTGGCAACTCCGAAGATGAGCAAAATCTAGAGTGCGATTGCCTCTAGGTCCGTAAAAGGATGAGTATGGCAGCAGCCCCATTAGCGACAAGTACCACCTTGTTGTTGCACTCCGCGACGTTGTGCTTTCACCTGGAAGTTCCGTATGAGCTTGGATGCATGTGCCAGCACGATGGCTTCTCGGAAGTCCCTCGCTGACCTAGCTATCACTGCCCTAGCGCATGCTCTGTGGATACGATACCGACACTATGGGCAGAAGGCACGGCGCCAGGAGGAACAAAAACGGGTGTGGGCGAGGGTCTCTGTCTGACACCGGGGGAACCGAAACATAGGGACAGGGAAGGGGCAGGGCCTGTTGTTGTTCTGTCCCAAGAGCATCAATCAAGGCGCTTCCGGTTGCAAGTTCGACATGGTGTACACATCTTTCGACAACCACACACAAAATCTGTTTTGAAAGAGGTTGCAACAGCTTATTCGGCGTTGGGCACTTCGGCTCTTCTAGAGAAAGTATACACATGACACTGGTTATAAACAACCCCAGCCAAGAGCCTTCGGTGTCTTGCAAACTCGATTTACATATGCTTAACGCGTGGGATCGAGACATGGTGCCCTGGCTCAGCGTTCTACTTCCATTCAATCCAACCTGCCGAATAGAGAGAGAGTTGTACAGGGAAGGGGTGTAGGCGTGGGGGTGGGGACCAAGAACGCTTGGAGGAACCGCACTCGCCTGGATGAGAGTCGCGAACCTTGACATCCTCTGCCTCGCGCGGCAGTGTTGCAAGATGCTGTGGAAGTAATGCTTCAAGACATTTCTCCTCTTCAGTTCAGTGTACTCCAGCACCAACTGGGAGGTCAGGGCATGCATTTGTACGGGGCAACACGTCAGAACGTTGAATCCTGAAACAACCTTCGGGTGTGGGTTGCAGCAGTATGAAAATGAGAAAATACTTGCCCATGGTATACAAACATCTTTGTGTGCTTAAAGGGTCACGTGAGTTCTTCGGCAGTCGAGCGCGGACAAACAGCACGGGAGGGAGTGATGGGAATGCAGGTGTTCTGAAGTATCGCGTTTTCAATTTCGGGTTCCACGACCCCCTGCCCAACGTAGCGAGTCAGTTTGCCTACGATTGCTGTGCGCACGGACGCATATAACGACCGCACGTTTGTTTAGCGCTGTTGACGCAAAAACAAATAGGCGGAAACGCAAACACTGGGGACATATCCTCTATTTCGGAAAACTCACTCGTGCTTGCGCCCGTAAGGAGTGCAGCTCCATCTTCGCGGCCGTTACACGCCAGAGACATTGTAAACACAGAGAGGCCGTATCCTCTTGACTAAAGTGCTCTCGCCAAGCTTCAGACCAGGCCTTGAGGTGGTTTCTTGTGTGTTTTGTGAGGATGGGAATAGCGTTGGAGTCAATGCATCATAATCAAGTGCCAACAAGGGTGTGACAACAGCACGAAGGATCGATCGTGTGGGCATCGGGGGGATAGATGCGCGGAGCAGGGTGCATAATTCATGGCACCACCGAGAGATGAAGCGGTCACGACCTATTTGCATCCCTTTCCGGGGACGAAACAGGTATCAACTGCATAGAAAACGTTAACGGCGTGCAGTACAGCCCCAGTTCGTCGCACAAGCACGAGATACACACGCCAGCATTTTCGGGGGAGAGAAAGGGGGGCTTCGCGGTCAAGACCTTATGTGGCAGAGGGCTCCTAGAGCTATATCGTGGGTATCTTGTATAACTTTCTGATTTAACCCATACCCGATGTTCCCGGAATACGGCAAGTTATCGTTGTTGGGTACTGGATGTAGCGACCTGAGAAAAGCATCATACCTGTATCTCTCGCTCCAGAAATTGTGGGTGTAAAGTAGCTCCTCGATACCGCTGACTGCACCAGCTAAGTCGCCGCAGCGGCTGCAGCACTTGGCGATGCGGTAAGCGATAGATTCCTGCGCAAGATGACGCGAGAAACGGACCGCACTGCTTTGTCTCCCAACACGGCAAATAACAGACACAAATTTGTTCATTTTTCTCCAGATGCGGACTTCAAACAAATACAAGTTTGACACGCTTGAAGAATGTTGCCCGTATTCATAACTAACGTCATGGGTCAATGCTTCACTGTTTCTCCGTTTTCCTACCTGTTGATCCGGGGGAAAGAGGTTCCCCGCCCTCTTCAGAGCTCCTCTGTACGCCTCGGCGGCCACGTGAAAACAACCCACACCCTGGCGGTAGGCAATGTCTCCAAGATCGAGCCATGTTCTTTCCAGTGAACGGTGGGGGTCACGAGGAACGTACAGTACATGCGGCCGTGTTGATGGTGTAAGTGGACCCCCTGGTTTCTCTTTGAGAATGACATTTAACCCCCTTACCACGCACAGAAAATTCGGCTGTCTTGCGAAATTGCTGAAATGTAAGAAAAAGAGCGAACGACGTCTGCTGATTGGATGGTGAGACAGTTCCATCCCTGGGTGCAAGTGCAAAGCTGCCTTCCCACTTGAGCCGGCTCTTGTCTATAATCCCCATCAATTGTCCCCTCGATACGAGGGGACAATTGATAGGGATTATAGACAGCAACTGGCGGGGGCGTGGTAAACGGGGCACGAAAAGGAGGTTTTCAAGATATTTCTCTAGAGGGAAAGCGAGACCTTCTAACTCAAGCCCTAGGTTGCTTGGTGCCTCCTATCAACGGTGGTCTAGGTACTTCTTCCGCGCTTGCCCCTGGTAGCGCTTTCCACCTAAGGGTAAACAGACGCGGCGCAACTTCGCTGTTGAACCGGCGGCGTAATCGCCCCGCGATTCGACCTGTTCATTACCCTCATACTCCTCCACTCTACAAAGCATCCATACTAGACTAGAGTCGTCCCTGTGTACCCTGGCACCCCCCTGGTCGAGCAGTGCAAAGGAGGAGACAATCATGCCAATCTTCGCGAGATGAAGCAGGTGAAGAAGATGGGGACAAAACGTGTCCCCTAAAGGCGATCCAGCCCTAAAGGGGTTAATCGGACTGGACCTGACCGGCTGTGGTGACGAAATGAAACAACGTGTTCCGGAGCACCACTTGTTTCTTTCGTTGCTGATGTTTCCCCGAGTGACCTGTTCCTACCGACAGAAGAAGTATTCCCTCCAAACTTCGTTGTGATCCAAACGGGGGGCAACATTTCTAGCTACACGACAGTGCAAGGAGTCTATCCGGCTGAAGACACTGTCATACAGCTGACAAGATCACTCTTGCTCTGCTTGGAACGGGGTGGACATCCTCTGCAACATCTGCGCGCAAGCGCACATCACCCAACAAGGGCAAACATCTATTTGTCACGCTAGGGTGATACCCCTGGTTGGTACCCTACCAACCTTTAGCTTCAGCTTCTCTGAGTCCTACCCACACCGTGCAAAACACGCACGGTACTCAATGCTAGCGTGCTGCGTTGTTGTCGACCCAAGGCACACAAAACCCTAGGCATCTAGGAACCTCGTAGACAACAACCCAGTTGCGCGCGGGAAGCGCGCTAGAGTACCTTGGGTGTTGCACCCAGGCAGTCCAATGTGGCAATCCGTTGTACCATGATCTCCGGATGGCGTCGACATCGGGGGCACCGTCGTTGAACTGCCCTCGAGACCTGGTTTTTGGCGCATTGGTGCGTGCGGCCGTGGCGTCAAGACGTCGGAACAGGACAAGGGCTCACGAGGGGCAGGGTAGCGTAATACATGTACTGCCCCCAAGCAATTGCACCGCGCGAAGAATGATAGAAACAACTACAAATTCGGCAGCCATGTGCTGTACGGTGACCACACTTCGCAAACTCCCCCGAGCGCCCCGATCACTCTCTAGTAATGATGTGGGTGATTTTGGCAAGCGACTACACTGCGATGGGTGAGGCTATCAGGCGCGACCATACCAAGCGCACAACGAAATTCTCAAGGACGATGAACCCTTGTCGGCAGTGTATCGGTCGCACCTGGGCAGCCATGCCTCATAGCTTGTGAATGCGTTCTCCATAGTCTCCATTCCCCGAGTAGAATTCCCCAATCGGGAGGCCAACAAGCCAATCTGGAACTGTAGGGCCCATGCAGGCAACCCATGCACCTGGAGTCCTTTGCCTTGCCAGCGCTCAGCATCCCCTGGTACGATACCGTCCCGCTCGCTATCGCGTACTTCTTGCTCAGGAGCGTCCCATCTAGGATACATCATCGCCGTGGGCGCGCCCTCCCTTGATGGGGCATAGCTATCTCGAAGGTAGTCGAGGTATTCGAGAGCCCCCGTCGCAGTTGCGGTGGATTGCTTCGTTTGCGGGAACGCGGCTGGTACCGCTAGGAAGTAGATCACCTCCTCGATGTGTTGGCTGTAAGGGTGGTCTCGCAATATTTCTGCGAGCCGAGCTAGCGCAGAGCGGATGCTTGCTGGGTCACCTACTACAAAGTCCAACCTCGCTAAGCCAACTTGAGCTTGCACCTTGATATTCTCTCCCCTTGGGCCCTCAAGCTCAGCACACCTCCTATAGGCCTCTCTCGCCTCGGCTAGGGCCTCATCTGGGGGAACCGAACAACACGGGGGTGCCACTCGGTGGCATCAACAAACACGTGAAAATAAACACATTGAGTTGATATTCGAAAGACCGCTTGGAGATTGCAGTCAATGTGCGCACCCCAATTATAGCCGCTGTCCTAATACGGTCGGTCGCCATTGTCCTGAACTTTCTGCTCTCCTTTCAGTAGTAGTGGTCATTGCGCCGACTGCTTAACTCTTGCTGTGTGCATGTATATCACCTTCATCAGGAGCGTACTCCCTTCTCCATTTGATCACTAAAGATTTTGCCCGGGCGAACCACCAATGAGGGTCCGCTTCCGCTAAATCCTTAGCAGCATAAACGCGCGCGGGTTGGTGCGTGGTAGAGTCTTGGGGTGCCATGACTCTACCCACCGCCCTCGGTCAACATGAACGCCCAGCCCAGACTGTCCGCTTGGGTTCGGGAAGAAAGAGAGGGGTCGGCCGGAGACAGGCGGGATACGCGTATTTACACGGAGGTAGACACAAAGAGTGAGAGTGGGAGGGGCACAGAGAACACGTACAGATAGAGGGAGGCGTAGGGAGGGCAGTGGTAGTGTCGAGGGAATACGCAGGCAACGAGAGACACCCTGCGCGTTCACGAGTAATTTCGCCGCATGCGAAACCCGAACCGCAACAAGTTCCGCCGCATTCTCTATTTCACCGAAGCACCGAGGCACCGAGGCACTGAGGCTCACCGCGTTGGTGCGGTCCTTGTTCCTTGTTCCCCTGCTTAAGCATATCTTCATCTCTTGCTGCCACAAATGTGTTTGAACTGCGTGCAAGGTTGTAGCCACACACACAGTGCACGATCAACGTCCTGTACTTCGTACGCTGAGGCACAGACTCAAGCTGGAGATTTGTAATTACCGAATGTATCTATCCGAACAACACCGTTCACCTCATGCATGGACTACTGCTGTTATTGTAGCTGCTGTACCTGTCTGTCCAATGAGGTCGACTTCCAACTTGAACCGGAAATATAAATGTGTGGGATACCGTGGTACCCAAGGTTTGCGACCGTTGCCACTTTGTGGCGTGTTTTTCCTCACGTTCCAACCAATGCTTATCAAAATCCCTACAGAGAAAGATCATCTTGTCAATAACCGCTGAGAAAGCGAAGAAAGGAGTCCATGTATGATGAAACGTTTTGAATGTTTTGATCTATCATTATCACAGCCGGATGTTTCTAGCGTGAGAACATCACCCCCGGTTTCTCTAACCCTCCACCCCACCCAATGTCAGGCGTCTAACGCCATTCCTTGCCCGGCTCGTTGTGGCCCATTTGCTTCCTCTCACGGAGAGGGCGGCAGCACACCTTTCTTGTACCCGACTCAAACTGAGGAGCGCTGGATTGAACTTAGAAGAAACGGCACTACAGTACCAGTCCTGCGACCGTGAGATCTTTAGATATTACTTGGCTCGGGTATCTTCATCTTCGTACTGATTCGAATCAAAACGAAAATATATCTTAGACTCGCATCATCTGTGGAAAGAGAAACTTTTCAATCGTTTTTGTAAGAAACATGACGAACAAACCGAAGGAAAGATGATGCTGCATGCCTCCGGCACAGAGCTCAGATAGTGCAAGACAAAAAGCACCCGACAGCGAGCCCTCAGACCTACAAGTCCACAGCAATGCAGAAACGAGCTATTTGGTTTGACCGAGGCCAACCTCGATTTTCTTGTCGGCGCCAAAGCTGAACGAAGTGGAAACTGTGTTCAAAGCCTGATTGCGTGAGGCGAATGTTCGCCGCCCACCGCTAAAGTAGTGGTAGGGTTCACTTTCGATGCACGCATACATCCGTTGCCTTCGACAACACACAGGTACCAACGCTTCACCGGACTCTCAACGTCATTGGCATGATACATGCCACACCGTCCGGGTTGTGAGAGTCTAGACCACACGACACACCACAACATCATCAGAGGACCCGATTGCCTTGTGACGTCCTCGCCTTGCAGAAGACTCTCCGTTTCGAAAAATACTTAAAAAAGAAAACAATCAAAAGGCAACATTCGACGCTCTTCGACAGGAAAAAGACGCTCAACGCACGCGTGACACCATGCGGAGTCAAGGGCGTACGAACGGCAGTGCTGTACGTAGTGTCATTTCGTATCGTGCCCAGAATCCCTGATGGTTACTCGTTCCACCAGCCAGCAGTCTTTGTGGCTGCCATCTCTGACACGGCCTAACCTAAAGTCCATTTCCGCCCAGTTCACCACCGTTCTCGTCTCATCGACGATCACACGTATCTGCACGTAACCGTCAAGCAGGGCAGGCGCGAATGAAGTGATTCGAAATACGAGATCGTCAGCAGCGGCCGGGTTGGGTGAAGGTCAGTAGGCAGGATACAATGGGAAACAAGCTCCACGAAAGCAAGAAAAAAGCAGCCGTAAAATACGGAAATACAGCAAATCAACCTAGGTGGTGTGATTCACTGGAGTTGATAGAATTGCGATGGCAGAAGGGTGTTCCCGTGTGCATGAGGCAAGAAAGAGCTGGGCGCTGCACAGGGACGAGAGACCATACCACCGTGGTTTCCTGTGCGGCTGTAGAGAGAAAATGATCAAGCATACCGCGATCAACTGGTCTGGCGTAGTAGTTAGGTCACAGTTATCCGGACGCATCAACAAAATACAGCGCAACAGCAAACTCAAAGCAAGAACATGATCGCGTCGTGAAATACACATAGCACAACGCCAAATACATCGCAGAAAGCTGTCTCTCCGCTCAGAAAGAGATGATGTTAAGAACTTGGCCCAGACGAACAGGTTGCTCGGTTTAAGGATGCTACCCTAAAACCTCTACAGTAGATACTGGGTTCCCCCACTGAGTCTGAAAGAAACGACCGTTGTGCGAAATAAGAGGTTCTCAAGGGTGGCGCGTAACTGTGCCACTCTCGACATACCCTGTCCCATTTTGCTTAAAACTCCTGTACCACTAATCTTGCCAATACCCCTCACCGGGAAGGTGACGCGATGATCGTCATCGGAAAAAATTGGCTCTCCCGCCATGTTGAACGAATCCATCCCCGCAAGGAACGGAAAATTCTGCCTCATCACTGCCACGTACGAGTCCTTATCCAGGTACCTGTGTGCCGTACATTTGAACAGCACGCGTAAAAGTAACAGAACACCGTTGGCCCCGTGATTACAAGGTTCAACGTTTCGTAGGTCAGGTACGGTAGGGAGATCTTTCAAGAAGCTCAAGCATATACCAATGTCGTGCCTTCTTAACCGACCTGAAATCCAAGAGCGAGGAAAGCGTTTTGGTGAAATGCAATCGCGTCGAGAACTGAGTCGTTGCTTTCAAGTCCAAGCCCATCGATGTCAACAGAATTCCGAGCTGCTAGATTTGAACGGCAGCGACTGCCCAAGGAGTAACGCAAACGACAATCTCATGCAGCCATACACACAAGCAACGGATTACAGGGACCACACATTGGATTTGAGTAACCCGCTAGACAGGTAAGTGCCTAAAACACTGCCCCCCAGGGCTATTTATCCTTCGGTAACGTAGATGAGGCCAGTCATTACGTTAAGGACAGGATGCGAGGAACCCGCCAGACAGTTAGACCATAAAACACTGCCTGCCAGCGTTTTTTATCCTTCGTTGTGACAAAGTCTTCGATGGGACCGATCTTTAGGCGGACGGAGTCAAGCCCCACCTTGGTTGTAATTCGTCTTCGTCCGTCCAGTCGCGGCGAAAGTCGATCGGTCCTCGACTGACCTCCTGGTCCAGCGCACTGAACAGGAACGCCTGTCAATTATTACATTTACTTGAAATAAGTATGAAAGGAGAGCGTCAGGCTCACCCTTGGACACGTGGAGAACACCACGGCCACTTCGCTTCTCTCGTGCCTCCAGTGCTTCCACCATCAGTTAAAGGAAGGATACTTTCGCAAGCCTTGGGGGCGTTGGTTTTGTGGGGTAAGGCGCACTTGAGTTGTCGCCGTTTTAATCAAGTAAGCGAGATCAGTACGTGAAACAAGACAAATTCATCTACACCCTTGCATGGAGGTCTAGGGAATAGCATACGACAACTTGTACTATTTCGTGTTTTCTTATCTTCCGTAGAGTGTCGCAGCATCACAACCCGCTGTACAAAAAGCCTCCAAGTCTGCATGTTGCATATCCATGAAGGCGCAACTAACGGCAACACAGAGCCACCCTTCAAACGAGCAAAGTTGCACGGCTGCTGCGACACAAGCAACTCAAGCGCGGTGCAAGATCCACAGACAACGTCACCAAGCACGAGATTGCGCGGCTGATCCGAGCAACCGTCGATGAGAGTACGAGCAACAATAGATGAGAGTACGAGCAACAGTAGATGAGAGAAGAGTCGGCATTCTTTGCGGGACTTGCCTTCCGCCATCCCGCGCCCTCCGTAGGGAAATCGAGATTCTGAAGAGAGGTCAGCACGTGTTCCAGCACGGTATGTGGAGGGAGAAGCGCAGACGGCCGCTCGAGGAGACGTACGCCCTCTCTTCTCCGCAAACTTTCTCGTTGATTTACCTGGTTGCGAGAGGGTGATGGCCCGGGCAAACGACCAACACAGAGCGCAACAAGGGAAGCAGTTCGCCGAAGAGATTTGGAGCACGTCGTATATATCAACCAGGGTGTAACTGCACATGCAAAGCATGCTTCGCCAGCTGCGAATTGCTTGCCGAGATTCAGCCGGAAGAATGGGCAAATCAGAGGGAACGCACACAGTTTCTTTGCATACGGCAGGTTGACAATACTAGATGCATCGTGGCGGTGAGTACAGACCGTATGTAGCGATTCCGTGGACAGCCGCACGCGGAAGTAGACACCAAAGAGAGACATCTTTACGATGCGGGCCTCTGTCGCGGTTTGCAGCAGCGTCATGCTTACCTCTCCCATAAACTCGGACATCAAATCTGACCCGTCCTGATCCCCCTCCGAATCACCGTCGGCCTCGCCACCGTTCGAGCTTGAAGAAGCCTGCGTTATATCCGCAATGCATGGAGGATGCATGGGTGAGCGCACTTGAGTCCAAAGAAAACACCTCCGGAGCGAGGATCTGCTATCATAAGGTAGAAAGTTCCACACAGAATGTAAGAATACCTATGTAGAGGGTACAAGCTTGACCTTCTCGATGAAAGAGTCAACGTCGTTTTCAGGCTATTTGGCGACACCCACCCGCCTAACAACCCCACGGTCAGCGTAACTTAGATGCGGCGGAATTGCTGCCAAGAGAGCCGAAGAGGGACACAATGGCAGACCATGTGCCGGGAGCTGTCAGAAATAAACCAACCAACACTTGAGGCATAGTATCAGCAAGTGGGTGCTCGTGGTCCAAGCTTCATCAAGCGTGCTCCAAACGCCACATGGTGGTGGGAGCAGCTCCACCGAAACGGCATGAAAGCTTGGCATTCTCATCAATAAATTATGGCATCATCGCTATTCACCAATGGCGGGCAGAGGACGATGCGTGTGGCTGCAGCATACGTGCCAACTGACGGTGCGCAGCACTTCTTTCCGAGGTAAACACCAACATGGAGATAGACGTGAGGGGAACGTAAATCACTCGGGTTTATCCGAATTGGAATTATGTCTACCGATACAGCTAGACTTTTGGCTGCTGTTTCGGTATTATGTCTTTAGTCAAAACCAAAATGCCGGGGATCCTCATAATAATCTGTTCACACAAAACAACCGGTTCCCGCTTTTCCGAGAGTCCGGAGCCAGAAACCGGAAGCCTTGTTCTATTTCTTTCGTCGACCAAATCACAGGCAAGCATGAATGAAACAGGTAGTTTTATGAGAAACGGGGAGGGGGGTACGCAGAACCTATCCCTAACCCTTACCTTCTAACCCAACATCCCCGGTTTCATGCTTGATAAAAAAAAAACTGCGAAGGCTACAGATTGTAACGCAACTCGAGTGGCGGTGAATTATCTCCCCTATCTAGGCCCAGTTCCAGCAGTCCAACGTGATCACAAAGTTTACAGCAGTATTTTCTCAATGCGAGTTGCATGCAGTGTTGTCTTGTATGCATACATTGTATTTCTTTTGTATACCCTTCTCAAGAATCCAATGCTCCAAATGCTGTACGGCCTCCTCCAGTCTGCCGGCTGATATACATGGGCACAGCAATAGTAGTTTGCACTAGCATGGTCGTGTCGCAAGCACTGCCGTCTGTCGGTAGTGTTGACAACTGCTGTGTTCAGCCGTTCACAGAGGCAGCACAGCAGCAGCACATGTATCTACCTCGTACCGTCAGCAGGCATTGTCTGAAAAGCAAAAGCACTTTTCTCAGCGATGTTTGTTGGCTTTTGCAGTGATCATGACGACCGCATAGAGGCTACACTAGGTAACAGCAGGTTTGATTGCCAGCACAGCAGCGAATAGCTCGTACCTTCAACCCGCAGCAGGTCCTTCCGTGATGCCAGCATGCTCTCGATGCCTGTGCCAATGCGGTGTGCGAGACTAGGAAGCCAGCCGCTCCCTGGAGGCTTGAGAGGGCACACAACCACAGAAAGCAACGCTTCCGCCCCCGCCCACTCCGCCGACCCCCAAGCAGCGTTACACGGCGGTCCTTGTCCATGGTGTCGCGTGCTCCTCGTTGCGTGTGTGGCACGTGCATGAACCACCATGGTGCGCTGACTCTTTTGGCCGTGGGTGGTTGATAACCCTCATTTCGCGGAACCCCTGGACACCGCGGCAGATCACCGCACCTCACCCAGGACAGACTTTTGAAACCACAGACCAGGGCGGTGCCCGCACTCATCGCCTCGTCTACACACAAGATAGAGGCAGAGCGCACGGGCTGCCGTTTGAGTGGGAGAGGGGACCACGTATCTGCGGTAAGTCCACGGAAGAGTATCTCAGCAGGCAGGGTTTTTCCCCCTACTATTTACTGTACACCTGCTGTATTGTCTGTCATGTTGCAAATTCGTTGAGGCACTTCAAAACGCGCGCGTTCGCACTTGCTCTACGGGTGCTTAGACGGTATTTGCTTCTCAGCCGCACCACGCGGTATGTTCGCAGAGAGTTTCCTCTGTTCCTCCTCGGATTCTCCGTTGGACAAGATTTTGGTGTGCGCAAGTAGCGGTGGTCTTCTGATACAAGGGGTGCGGCTCTTTTTCTTTCGCCGTGAGATACCGCATACATAGTCTACAGCAGTAGGCAACGCACGACGCATTCGGCTATGAGGTCATCCATATCACCACCGGCAAACAATCCATGTGCACCACCGGCTAGTGTGTAACCCGTAGCAGTCGCCCCATCGCTAGCGTCGCGATATGCATCGCGTCGTGATACGTAGCATACTTCCCTCAAGCGGAAGGATCGGTAAGGACGTTTTCGCATACAGGTAGTACCTGCAGCAAGGACGGTTTCGTTCCCGTGCATTCTGATATGATAAGATGGAGAGATGCTTCGCGGGTGTCCCACTCGTAGTATTTCGTGTGTGGGGAATGTCGGCTCTTTTCCATCCTCATTGTTTTTCGCGAAGTGGCGTGCAATACACCATGTATGACACAAGATAACACACCCCCTTTACCGACTTTCAAAGCTCGATTACTCCACGACGAAGAGGGTGCAGACACGAAACGATACGTTTTCGGAGAGTTCTCGACGAGACGGCTTCGACGCCGCCGTTTCCGCGCTGACACTCTTTCTGCCGTTGCTAAATGGAGCTTTGAAAATCGGCCCAAGGGGTGTGTTGTCTCGTGTCGTATGCTTGTGTGGTAGACAAGGTGGCTGGCGATATCACAGCCCTTGTGTGAGGCTGTCGGTAAGCACGAGAATCCCCCCCCCCTCCAGCAGATTCAGCCGAAGCAGAGCGCCCTTCAAGGGGTACGCAGGGCGCCCAGCAGGGTACGTGTGTTGTGCGTTCTCCCCGAAATCACCGTTTTTGCACTTGCACGTGTTGCTCTCCATGCACACCCCTCACCAAGTCGGCCTGTTGTCCTGTTACATGCAGCCTTACAAACATGACACACGGTTTGGTGACACCGCTGTGCGTATCTCCTCTCAAGCACGACATGTCGTGTTATGCCGAATAATTCCAGCTAAAAGGTAGAATTCCAATGTTTTTTTTTTTGTCGAAGGAGCTCGCTAAGCGCGCCATGTGTTTCGACTTGCGTGCGCCCTCCCCCGTCCTCCTTGCCTTACCGCAACATGACTCAGCATTCCTGAACAGCACACCACGGGGTCCTGACCGCGTGGCCCCTGGGTACGCGCCAGCAGCCGCCGAACAAGGATGTCACAGGCAGAGGGCACTGCAGAATACCCGTGGGATGAGCCAGAGCCTGCGCAAGAGACGTTCAACGCTTTCGGGTCAGACGATGACTCTGACGACGAGATGCCACGCACGCCCGCCTCTCGCAGACCCAGAGTCGGCGGTAGTCAGGGGAGCGGTGCTCGTGGGGGCAAACGAAAGGCTGGCAGCGAGGCACCTCCGGGGGCTGGGTCGACAGCGGCGGCTGTCGGCGAAGGAAGTGCTGGGAACGGCGGCGGCAGCAGCAGCAGCCGTGACGATAGCTTGAGAGTTTCGGGCACGGAGGCTGAGGACGGGGAGACGGAGGGCGGGAGAGAGGCGGGAAGAGAAGGAGACGATCGGGAGAAGAGAGAGAGAGACAACGATGACAGCAGCAGCACTACGACCACCGGGACATCGGCTCTCCCCGCTGGCGACACGGACCTCGAGGACAATAACAGAGCAGCGGTGAGGAAAGACACGGACACAGACGGTAGTGACAACGAAGAAGAACGATCAACGCCAGCACCAGCAAGGAATGAGAAGTTGGGAGGAAGCAGCACCAGCGGGGTAGCAGAGAAGGGGGGAGGAAGCAGCAGCAGCAAGCAAGCACAGGCAGAAACCGCCGCGCGTAGCCCCGCAGACGAAGCGTCACCGATGACTCCGTGCCCGCTGTGCCGCGAAGAGTTCCCGACGACCGAGGTGGAGGCTCACGTCCAGAGGTGCCTAGATGAAGACGATGACGTTCAGGTAGTCGATCCCCCCGGCACCGCCGCCGCAGCGCAAGGGAGGGGGAGCGGCGCGAGAGGGGCTGGTCCGTCGCAGGGGGCCGCTGGCAGTGGCAGCGGCTCCAGCGAAGGGCAGAGTGCCGCGGGAAACGGCAGCGGCCCCAGCGAAGGGCAGGGCGCTGCTGGCAGTGGCAGCGATGCCGGCGAAGAGAAGTGCCTCGTGTGTGGCAAGCCGTTTCCGGTGGAGTCGCTGCAGAGCCACGTGAACCTCTGTTTGGACAACCAGATCAAGGTGGAAGAGGAGAGGGAGAAGAAAGAGAGTCGGGCTAAGAGGTGCGATTGTCGGGCTTGGGTGCCGAGTGACAATTCGGGCGGGGGTGCTCCTTTTCCAGATCGCTCTGCATACGTACTACGTCCTTGCATTCTTTGAGAGCCTTGCCCATGGCAGGGGTGGGAAGCTCTCGCGTGGTATCTCCATGTGATGCCTGCGGTTGCAGTCCTCAGTCGTGTCGCGTTCCGTGGCATGCTATTTAATGTGTTCTCCGAAGATGTCACGATCACGACGACAATACGTAGTGATACCTTGATGGCCTGTTGCAATGGTTGCGACTCCTACAAGTGCGGTCGGGCAATCCTTGTCGGGTGACTTTTCGAGTCTCACGATTTCGTACACGTGTTGATCAGCACTGCTGTTGCTTTCGCACGAGTCCTGTTTTTTTTTTTTTCCTCGAGATGCATGCGTGTAATCACTACACCAGCCTCGCAAGTGAGTGCAGCGACAGAAGGTTGTTGTTTATGGACGCAGGAGTCACGTACGCATCCCAGCACCCCTCCTCGTTCACCGGCCTCGTTACGCCGCAAACCCCGTCCCCAGGCAAAGCAAGTCCGTCCTCCTCGTTTCTCGCCGGTACGATCCCACGGGGACGCGTGCTCGAGGACCCCGCGTCAAGAGCGAGGACACCAAGGTCGACATCAAACCCGAACCTTCGGACGCCGCCGCCGCCGCCCCCGCCGGAGGTGGTGCTGCCGTCGACAACGGCGCTCCGCCCGAGTGTAGTCCCAGTAAACCGTCAGACGGCGTCGAGCGGAAAAGAAGCGGGAGCGGCTCGGGGGCAGGAAGGGGCGGGGGCGCGGCGGGTAAGAGGAAAAAGGGGTCGGGGAGCGATCGACCGAGGGCGCAGCAGCAGAAGGAGAAGGTTCAGGACAAGCCCGAGGGAAAGGGGAAGGGTCGGCTTTTGCCCCCCGGCGCCAGCGGGTAAGGGTTGTGCTGGTCTCGTTCGTGGTGGTCGGTGTTGGTTGGCCTCTTGACGAACGGCACAAGGTCTCAACGGCCCCTAGGTTGCCGGGGAGTTTTTCCACATTTTCAAGTATCATCATGACATCATTGCGCTACGGCTTGGAAGAGGACGGCGGGGGTCCTGGAATGAAGTCTGGACGGTCCTACTATGCAGACAGCGGCAATCCTTGTACATGTCTTGACCCTTCCTGTCATTTGGCCTGATGACGGGGTGCGATCGAGAACGGGCGGGGTTGTGAAGGACATGCCACGGAGGCTTACGGACCTGTCTGCCTAGTGGCGTGCGCTCTTGCTATGCATACATCCAATGAGTTGGCTCCTTGTGTTGCTGAAGCTAGGCCGCGAGTTCCCTTGATTCTGGCATACGGCAGCGGTGGTCCTTGTGTAACAGGCGTTGCTTACGATTCGCGTTGCCTTCTGGCCGGGCAGGCGGGGGTTCAAGTGCCCCAAGAAGCCGAGAGGGTGCGGCGCGATCAACACGGAGTCAAGCCAGAGGTGCTGCAAGTGCAACATTCGCCTGTGGACGTTGGCCAAGCCCAACGGGTAAGGGAGTAATCGAATCGTCCTGCGCGGTCGGGGGACCCGATGAAAGTAGCACCCCCCCCCCCCCCCCTTGCCATTTGTGAAAGCCCGGTGTGGTGCTTCGCTACTCCGCGACACGTTCACCTGTTTGCCAGCAATAAGACGGTCAGGCTCCCCACGAAATATGCTGTACTGTTGACAAGAACTTGCACGACCATAATGGCCGGTTGCAACACAGCCAATCGAACAGTTCCGAGGAGGTGTTCGAGCCCACAGCGTGAGTCAGGTCCAGCGGGGCTTTTCGGAACCGATGTTCAAAAGTGCTGAAGGAGAGGGCACCCTTAAGACGATTTTCGTGCTCACTCTTCACGGTCAACAAAATGATGAGGCTCCGCCGCAAATTTGGGATGGTAGCAGTTCGCCCTTCGGGCCTTTTCCTCGCGCAAAAGTTATTCTCCAGTTATACATAGTAGGTGAGATACGATATCACACCCGCTGAACCGATTTTCGAAGCTCGATTACTCCACAGCACGGCGAGTGATGATACCGAGAATTGCGGCGTTGGAACCGTCTCATAGAAACAAGTAGCTTTCCGTCAACGTATCGTTTGATTTGTACATCATCTTCGTCGTGGAGTAGCTGGCCTTTGAAAATCTGTCCACGGGGTATCTCATATCTCCTATGTACGGTGTGCTTAATCAAACTCAAGGTAAGACCAGTATGCAGCAGACTTTCTTCCCCGCTGACTTTCCAACACATCCCCGTTCGACTGTGGTATTGTCTGGAACGGATAGTCTTTCATGTGATTGTATTTGTGTCGCGATTGGAGTCTCTCGAGCCCGCGAAAGGGGCTTTGCGATGGAGAGACTGACGCGCTGAAGTGGGCGAAGACCGGCGAACAAAAGGTCTGAAGGCGACTGCAGACTCGTGTACCGACGAAACCGCTTTGCTTTGAGAGTCTCAGAGCTCAGACATATTTGTTGTTTAGTCTATTTTCTAACCCCCCTCCCCCCCCCCGCCCCCCCCCAACGTCCCTGTTAGCGGCACGGGGCCCCCGGTGAGGTTTCGGGTAGACGACCTCGTCCGGTGGTGGGAGCTCCCCTACATGGCGGTCCCAGGGAAGGACGGGAGGAAGCAGCAGGTCGGGTACGTGTACTCCCTCGAGGACCACAACGATGACGGTCGCGACATGGAGGCCTTCTGCACGTACAGGCACCAGCCCGGCTACCTCAGCGCTGCCATCAACCTCAAGGATATGGAGCTTGTGCCAACTCCGCCACGGGGAGAAAGGACCGGGAGCAGAAGCTCCGGCAGCGGTGCCGGCAGTGAGTCCGGCGGGGGCGGTGGTGGCGGCGGTAGCAGCGATAGCGGCGGCGGCGGCGGTGGCGGTAGCAGCAGCACCGGTAGCGGTAGCGGGGGCGGCGGCAGCGTTTCGTCGCTGTCCGCCGGCGGCTCCCGTCCGTCCGTAACGGTTCAGTCCTGGGGACGCGGCAAGTGCGAGCACGTCGAGGCCGGGAGCGAGGTCAACTACAAGAACGGCAAGTGTCACTCCTGCCACGAGGCCAGGAAGGGCGGTGGCGGTAGTGACCCCATGGAGGAGGAGGAGAAGCGCGTGGAGGACAAGAGCGTCAAGTGCGAAACCCCCGGATGCGATAGCGGCCAGTACGCGCTCGGCGTGTGCTGCGCCTGCTTCGACCGGTGAGCCGCTGTTTTAGCTTGGCGTTTTGAGGGCGGCGGGGTGAAACCGGTAGCCTTCGCTTGGCTTTTCTATTAAGTGAACACGTCGGATAAACCAGGCAATCGGGGCGGTTGGGTTAGCGTTAGGGATAGGGTCGGCGTACCACCCCCTCCCTGTTCTATTTCTCCAGAAACTTAATTTGTCGCCAAGACGGTCCGGCGAAACAGCTTTTCTTTAGCGTCGTGCTCGGGGTGCCGGGGGGCAGTGTAGCGCTTGAGTTTGGTACGTACGTAGGCTGGAGATTTCACCAGCGCTGCGGCACTTTCAATCGGCACTATTGGAGAACTCCCACTATTGAAATGGTCGTTTGGTCGGCGAAACCGAAGACAATCACCGTTCCGTCTTGATGTCGTTATTGGGCGGTTATTGCGTGGTAGAAGTACAGCAGTGGGGGGCTGTTTAGTGCCGGTTATGTGCCCAGAGAATTGACCGGCATTATACCGGGCACGGTAATATTAATCAAAGTAAACAGGTAATAATGACTTGGTGAATCAGTCTGTGCCAGCCGAACAAACCGGCACTACACCGAGCACCGGCAGTTTTCAACCAGCACTAAATAAGGCCCCCACATTTCATAATCGGTCTTTGGAACTGTTGCGATGTGTACCTTTTTTTGGACATAGTGTGTGCCTCCGGGCATTCGTTTCGTTTCCCTGAAGAGACGACAGAAGAAGGTACTAGGGAGAGAAAAATACGATGTTATGACAAGACAACACCATCGACACAATACCAGCAGCATCGGCCGTGTGTGATGAACGATTTCAGATGTGAACGTCAGAGCAACATCAACGACAACACAGCCGGCGGTCATGCGTGATGGTGGGACCACTCCTTCCCCTTGTCCCCATCCTTCCTCTCCTTTTCCTAACCTACCGCCGTCTCGTATCGTAAAGGCACCGGGAGCGGATAGCAGCGATTCGGACAGCGGCGAAGAAGAAGCGGCAGTTGCAGGAGAAAAATCCCCCTCCTTGCCGAGCGTGCGAGGTTAGTGTGTGTGTTGGACTTTTTTGGTTGTTTGTTTTTTTCGTGGTGTTGGAGTTATGGTGTGCTTCGTACGCCAAGTCCCATCTGTCGGCCCCCCTGTCCTCAGGAAGCCTCGACTTCTACCAACGCCGTTCCCTCCCTGCAGGTTGGTTTCCCTCAGAGGAGAGGCAGAGATAGACTGCGACGCTTGGGGGCTGATTTGGATCGGGTACAGCAGTATGTCGAGAAAATGTTGGAAAAGAGGGAGTATTCTACACGACCCGCTCGAGACTCTTTTTAAGATGTCGAGGCGTGTTCACTTTTTCCTTTCCCAGGTTTGTTCCGTCCTTGTTGTCGATACTTTTCCGACTAACCTGTGTGTATTACTGTGTAACATGCGTGAACTTCCGCACACCGCTCCGGGTGCCTGGATCGAACCGTTTTTTTTTTTTATTTGTCGTTGCAACAGGGACTTCTATCGGAAACGCAGCACGCTGAGTGCGTGCGAATCGCCAACGGGACCAATTCTGGAGACGATAACGCCTCGGTGGATTCTCTGGACAACTCCGAGTAAGAAGATAGATTGTGGTCGCTGCTGTTGTTTGCTGTTTGTTGTTGTTGTTGGTGTTGTTGGTGGTGGTGGTGTAGCTGTTTGCTGTTCCTGTTGTCGCCGTCAGTATTCGCGATGATGCAAGAATCTGTTTTTTTTCAGGCCCTGTTTTCCCTGCGTTCCCAGAGAATTGAACATGACGGAACCTGGCTGTCTAACGTCCCCCGTCACTGACAGTCCGACCCTCGTGAAGTACGCGTTGTGATATCAGTTGACGGAACCCCTGCCCTTGGCTTGTTGGATCACCACCGTCCCTTACGAGCATCTACTGCCGGGCCTCCCCCCACCTCCCCCCCCGCTAGCAACACAACCACCGTCTTTTTTCCTGGTCATGTTTCAAATCGGTCGACGTTTAAAGCACCACCGCCCGTATAGCCTGCGCTCTCTTCGTCGCAGGAAATGATGAAGAAGGACGGATGCGGTAGATTTGTAAGACTGTAAAACAAATTTAGCGTGTTGTTCTTTTTTGTGTTCGTTGAGGTTCTCGCGGGGCTTTTGGGGTTAAATAAACGTCAGCTGTGTGAGTTGGTGAGCTTGGGAAGCGTCACGGCTGGCAGCTGGCAGCCGCGAGCTGTGGGCGAGTCCTGCTGCCTGTTTTTATTTTCATATTGCATCATCACCCCTTGGTGACACTTGGCTCTCATGAGCCCACTCCGGAGGACTGACTTGGAGCGTACACTTGGTTGGTTGTCCTCACAGACGCCGTTTATTCCTGCACCGTTTTTACCCTCGCCCGCTCCCGGTCCTCTCCTCTGATTGGCTGGTCATGCTCCTCGTGCCTGCTCAGCACCGGCAGGTGCTCGGAGTGCGGAATTGTCGGCGGCGAAGGACGTGACAACCAGCTGCTGCTGTGTGACGGCAATGGCTGCCCCATCGCCACGCATATGAAGTGCCTCGACCCCCCGCTAAACGAGGTAGGGTTATAATGCGCCTACTTTTTAGGAATCCTTGCTCTATCACTGCTTGGGGTATTTTCAGGCAATTGATATGATCCCCGGCATGGTGCCGGTGATAGGAGGGTGCAGCAATACCGAGTGTACCATATCACGGAGTATCGAGTTTTCGGTGTTTTTTACGGCTGTGACTGACAAGGCTCTTGTTGGGCTCGTGTTGGTGTTCGTTGATGTTGATGTTCATGAGGTTGATGTTGTTGTTGTTGTTGTCTACTTGTCTTTTGTCCATCCGATCTACATGCATCGACCTATCGCACAGCACAACCAGTGTGCGTGGACATGATTAGGAGAATCAACCAACTTTTACGTGAACCTGCTCCTTTAGTAGTAGCCCGTTCATGTGGAGCTATAGTTTACGCACGTGCCGGGGGACAGATCTGTGGTTTCATACATTCAACAATTTACCTTCCCTCCACGCAGCATCGCAAAGTATCGTTGCTCTCTTTTGTTCTACCCCTCTTGCTGCATCCAACCCCCCCAAGCGTAATTTTCCTCTCTCCTTGCACTGCTTTTTTTTGCCAACAGTACCGGTTTTCGACCCACAGCGCGACGGTCCGGCGCTTTTTTATTTTTTTGTCGTCCGATATTTTCTGTACGTAAGTCGTTACACCTTTCGAAACAATTTCTGGAAGCACCGGCCGCTAGGGGTCACAGCAGAGGGGAAGGGCTCACATACAGGAGTTTGCCCCCGTTATGTACACCTGCTGTGCTCTCTCTGTTTGCGCACACGGGGCTTTGCCGCCGCATACTCCTGCCGTGCTCTGTTTGTACACGCAGAAGTTTACCTCCAGTGAAATTCTGCTGTGCTCTGTGATGTGCTTGTGTCGTTGCGCAGGTCCCTCGATGGCTGTGGTACTGCGATGCCTGCGTGCTAGACAAGAACGCGGAGCTGTCGGAGAGGGGGTGCAACGCTTGCGGCAGCACGGATGACGACGAGAAGATCCTGCTCTGCGACGGCCCCGGGTGCAATAGCAGTAAGTGAGACACTAACCAGTAGCCTTCCCAGGGTTTTTCGATTCAGAAAACATGTTGGATAAAGCTTGCAGTCGGGGAAGTTGGCGTTAGGGTTAGGGGATAGGGTCTGCGGGCCCCCTCTCCATGTTATATTGCCTCATGAACTCCATTTCTCGCGAAGGCGGTCCTGAGACACATGCGCCACTCATCACCCCGTGTTATTTGTTGTTGTTGTTGTTGTTGTTACCTACCCTCAGCTCTGACGGGAAGGGTACGGGGAGGAAAACAACGAGCGCCCGAATACTGGCGGTGTGTGTAGTCCCTTGCAGGAGAGAGAATGGTGCACCATGTCTCACGGGGGCGACGCGTGTCCAACGAACCAATGACTGTTACACCCCATGAGCCCTACTTCTTCCTCCATAACCTCCTCCTCGGCGAGGTTGGCACAGCAGTGTGCGCTTGGCCCTCAGAATCCCGCACGTCCGCCCCTATTTTGGGGGGATTCAACAACGCTTTGGGTGATAACCATGCTACGGGTACGCAACACACTGAATACCCACCACGACTTCCACCCCAAATCCTCACACCCTTGTCGGCGTCTTCCTCCGGCAGCTTCGTAATTTTGGTAGAAGGCTACTCCGCTGGAATGAGCAAGAAAAGCATACCCCCCCAAAAGGCGGGAAGTGATATCGGTAGGATAGATAGACTAGGGACGACAATTTTGAGCCACCTTTGGCAAAGTAGGAAGGAACGATTGGCCATTGGTGATCGGTCCTGTGGGAACAATGCTCCTCTCGAGAACGCGTGGTCAATGGTCTAACCGCTAAGGCATGCTACGAGTACACCCCGCCCCCCCCCCCTCGTTGGCCACACCCCAACCCACCCCCCTCATCGCCGATCTTACTTCCGTTTATAGCAACTCGTACGTAAACACCCATTCCCCGCCTTGGGGCGCTTTTCACCCCAGACTACATCTGCCCACTTGTTTCATCGTGTACGCATCGACCAAATATTATCACAAGGACCATCACAACGTACCCCCCACCCACCCCCCTTGCCCATCCTTGCGTGTGTGTTCCACGTAGCTCCGTACCACTACGACTGCCTCCCAGTGCCTTTGAAGGGCCTCCCGTTGGGAACGGATCCCTGGTTCTGCCCCCGCTGCGCCCACGGCGAGAAGCCGTCTTCGGTTTCCTCTTCTCCTCCTGTCCCTGCGAGCGGTGACAAAGACGGTGGCGGTGGCGGTGGCGGCGGCGGCGGCGGTGGCGGCGGTGGTGAGTAACCAGGGTCCGTCAATAGTGCTACAGTTGGGGTCCCCGAATAAAAGGGCGGTGGTGGGGCAGCTGATAATGACCGCCTTATCTGGGCAGCCGCCTTGTGCGATGTGTGGGACAACTTCATTTTTTCCGTCTATGCTTGCCATTTTTCACCCGCCTTACATGCGGCGACTCCAGTATTCAGACCGCCTTGTTCGAGGGCCCACTGTACTTTGACCCCCCGGGGCTTTTACCACAGTGCCGTAGGAGCCGGAGAGATGGCACCCCCCTCACACCGACTTTCAAAGCCCGATTTCTCCACCGCAACCAAGGTTTTGCGCTGAAAGAGCCCAACGGAAACCCGTCGACGAGATGATGTTTCCAAAACTATGTACGAAGTACCATTTTTGGTTTTGGCACAAGCTTGGTTGTGGAGCAATCGAGCTTTTGAAACCGGTCTAGGGGGGTTGCCATCTCTCCGCCTCTCACGGAATACCACGGTACGGTATACGGTACGGTACAGACAATCTTGGTTGTGGAGTAATCGAGCTTTGAAAACCGGTCTAGGGGGGTTGCCATCTCTCCGCCTGTCACGGAATACCACGGTACGGTACAGACAATGTTGGTTGTGGAGCAATCGAGCTTTGAAAACCGGTCTAGGAGGGTTGCCATCTCTCCGCGTCTCACGGCATTCTTGGGGTTTTTGTTCGGGAGCTTGAGTTTCTTGCTGACCGCCCGCCCGCAGTCTCTGGCCGTGAAGGAACGAGCTCCTACTGCATTTGCGTGTCCCGGCCTACTTGCCGTTGCCATTGTCGTTGTTGGTGTGGGTGTTGTTTTGTTTTTGCCTGTTGATGTTGTATTTTATGTCTCCTCTTTGAGATCGGCAGGATTACTAGACTACGACAACAGCAAATATCTCCAGTGAGAGTAATTTGCACGTTGCCGTCTTCAAATCGAGTCTCGAAATATGTTTCGACTTGTTGAGCGTTTGAGCCCTTGCTTGCGATGGATGTTGGCACACAACTCTGCCCTTCTTCTGTCCGCATCTTTCGAGGTAGTTTGCCGCGCTTGTAGAGTTTGACTCCGACACCACCGTGCGAAAGAAAAAGCTAACTCAAAGGAACAAAATCGCACTATCGTGGCGACAGGAATAACGAAGCTTTCTGAGGAGCTGTATCGCGGGACGGCCTGCGTACCTCCTTCCGCGCTAGCATGTCTTCACCTAAGGTTGTCACCTCCCTTTAC